TTTTGTCACACTTCATAAATGTAAATCACAACTAATACCACTTAGTTCCTCCTCTTCTTTCTTATTTCATGTGCAAGGGTAGTTTTAGGCAGAGCAGTTTATAAAGTGTAAAGTTAATAAGTATGCCAAAAAATTAAAAGATAGGAAAATGCGTAAAGGTGCCTATACACCTTACAATTATCTGCAGATTTTCTATGGTGAGATGGAAAAAGTGCAACAGATTGGCCCAGGTGGAGATTACTCTATCCACACAGTTTAGCGTGGATGGAGGAATCAGTTGCACCTTTTCCATCTGACCACAGAAAATCTGCGGATAATTGTAAGGTGCATGGCCAGCTTAACATTTTGCACACATGCAAGATATTTTTCTTCAACAGTGCAGAGGTTCTTTTTCTTATGCTAAAAGGGGTTCTCAGTGACCTTCGGCTCAGTATGCTACATCTGCCCCATCGTTTGGAGTCTGAACTACTTGCTAAGCAGTAGCACCCCATTTAACTTCCAGTGTGAAAGTAAGAATATCATCCAATGTTAGCCACACTCTAGCAGTTTGAACCATTTTTTGATTACACAAGCAATTAAATAGATCAAGGCAATTAGATAGATCTACCAGCTTCCTTGCTGTATAAATACATCAATTAAAGGTGTTTGCTGCTCTTGATCCTTTCTATCTTTAATGCAGTCTGATTGAACATTGTTGGAGAGCTAGAAACTTGGCCAGCATAAGGTTGTTTCACACCAAATGCATTGTTACACATTGTACTGTTCTTTTTCTGCCAAAATACATGGACATCAGAAAAAAAACTTTCAAGTATGTCAAGTCTGAAGGAAGTGTTGTTGATGCCTGCAGAGTCCAATCATATTGGTCCTGTCATTTCTCTTGTTTAATATGAGAGAATTAGAGGGATAATATGGCTGCTATGTACTGTAAGTACTGTACTTCTTGCAGACACTAAACTCATGACGCCTGTTTTGGAGAAATCCAGTCATGTTACTCCACACAGAGACTTTATAGTGGGCAAATATTTAAAAGTCGTTAAAATCCCCTTTTAAAGTGTATTTAAACCCCAACAATGAACTTCATTGATTTGCTACTTTTTGTTAAATATACTTCTGAAAGTGTTTTGTTAGATCTGTTGCTTAGCTACACACAAATGTCTGTTTATCATGTCAGAAATTCAGAGTTGTCCTGCGTCTTGTGCACAATCCTTGTTGTCACAAGGAATCTAATTAACCCTTCTAGCCCTTATATAAAGACTACAGAATGATTATTCTCGATGTCGTGGAGAATAGCATAAAGGACGGATTTGAGTAGTTTAGGAAAAAAAAAAAACTGGGGCTTAACCCAGGAGGAGAAAACGTTTTATATTTAAATAAAGGTCCAAGAAAACTCAGCATAATCATGTTGTGTTAGGCTGGGTTCACACCTAGGCGTATTACGCATGCACGTCTGTCGCGCGACCGTCACGCAGTTTTTTTACCGCGATTCGCGGTAACAAAATCGTGTGACTGTCGCGCGATTCCGAAGGCTACTTGGCTGTATCCCAATGGAAAACGCCCTCCAAAACGGCCCAAAGAAGTACATGTACTTGTTTGGGCGTCAGCCGTTTTGTAGGGCGTTCAGACGGGCGGAAATACGGAAAGGTGTGAACCATACCCATAGAAAACAATGGGATTTTCATGGTTGTACGTTTTGTAGAGCGTTCATAGAGCGTTGAACGCCCGACAAAACGGAAAGGTGTGAACGGGGCCTTAGAGCTGTGCAAAGGCAAGCTAGCTGGTAGTAACCATCATACGTATAGCTTTTTATTAAACCTGATAGGTCAGTTCTCTCTTGCTTCGTAGATGAACAAACAGGTCAAGAGGTTATAATTACATAATTGAAAAGCATAGCACATTTTTATGATAAAAATAATGCTATGAGTGCAAATGATAGATCTTTTTTTTCCATTTTGACTACACAATGGCTGTTGTTTGAATTGCATATTGGCAATATATTTTTATTTCTAAACCGCCCATGTTATATTTAAGAATTATGTGTATGTATGTTTCAGATGTATTGTGTACACACAACAAAGGTGTTTAGATTCCACCCATAGATCATGCTGGGAGGGAACACACTACAGAGGTGTATACATGTTCGTGGTGTGTTTATAAGGTTAGTAAATCAACCCCATTGAGTATACATATAAGGAATTTTCACAATTTTCTGACACTGACTTACAGCTTCTCATTTGTATGTGACTCAACTTTCTTAAAGTGTTTGTAAAATAAACTAAAGTTTTATTTTGTATGGACAAGGAAGGGTTAGAACCTCAATCTGGTTTTTATTGTTGTGTCCCCACAGGGCACATTTACCCTCTCTATTAGTCCTGGTAAACCTGCTTGCTTGTTTTTTGTAGCCCTGATGAAGGGGGATGTTTTGGCTGTATTTGTATTTTGGTTGTGATCAGATTTTTATTTAACTCTTTCGCTGCCAAGCCCTACGGAACGCTTTACACCTCAGCTGGCCACACCATTTTTGCAATTTTTCTCATTGTTTTGATTTTCTTTTGCTGCGTTGCTTGCATTTGTAAAAGACTCCCGGCAGAATAAAAAGATGGTGCTACTAATTTTGTAGGTCCTGTGATAATTACGAAAATGTTTTTCAAATCAATATTAAATTGATAACAATACACAATTAAATTGATAAAAGCGCACTAAAATCAGTATCAGTGCACGAAAAAAATAATTTTCTGACTAAATCTAAAAGATAAAACTGTATTGACATAATAAATAACAAATATTTGTAAATTTTAAAATGTGCCTTTTTGCAAAACTGTAAAAAAAATTAAGTAAGACAAAACTGTAGATAAGCGACTTATGTAAAAAATCGTTTGTGCACTGTGCTGGTGTGTGTGTTGTGATAAAATGATGCAGGCGTACATTTAATCACAACACAGCGTATGACAACGCATGGCAATGCGTCACAACACTTTGCCATGCGCTGCCACAGTTAGATTAATGTTATTTTGAAAGGAAAAAAATAAAAATCAAGCATTGCGATGCATTCTAAAACACAGCGCGCATGTCGTACACCACAATATGGTGCACACCGTTGCACTTGTATAAAATGTGTGTTTGGGGGAGGGGTGTTGTGTTTTTTTTAATTTGGGGGGCTATGGTGAAATATTAGGGGTCTAAACAAATCCCTGACATTTCCTTTTTCAAATAGAAAAAGAAATTAAGGACACAAAGTCCTAAACCTCTTTTTCTGCAGCCTCACCACTCAATGAATTGAAAGCTGTTAGTACAGGGGCTTCCCATTCATTCAGAAATGGTTGATAGTAAAATGTTTGCTATCAACCAGTTTCTGTATGGGGAGAAGCCTCTGTAGTGAGTGCTTCTCCCCATTGAGGAACTCATGAATGAAAAGGAAATCATGTAAAGCACTTCCTGTACTGTGTCCCGTTACTTACCAACATTGGAGTGATTCGCTGATCACTCCTGTGTTTGTCCTGCACAGAGGATCGGTACAGATATTTACCGATCCTCCACTCGGCCACGCACACAGCCGCTTTCACCCTGAAACTGACAGGATAACAGTGGCTCCTCTCTCCTGCCCACTCGCTGCTCTTTCATGCCGCTCAGCCATCTTATAACTCCTATCGGCTTTACTAGTGAGTTTGCTGTTTTGGTTGAAATTTGATGTACAGCACCTGACAGTGGTCCTAACCATTCTCTAGCCTATCCAGAAATAAAGAAAAAAGTTTTGGCTTTACATGCATTTTACGTTAGACACAGCTAAGCTGTGACAGGTCAGCAGCTGCAATGTCTACAATTCCCCTTATAATAGGTTTCCTTTAAATTGTCTAAAAAATAAGGTCATAATAAACATTCCCGGAAACCAGTTGCTACCAGAGTTTCTTATGTTAGAAAAGACAAAGGAAATAAAATGTCATCCAATGCATATCACTCTCTGCATGTTCTATAATGTATAAATGTTCTATGTCATCCTTAGACTAAAGTGTTTGCTTGATTGTTGTTGGTTTGGTATAATGTTTGTGAGCATGGTGAGATATTTTTATATTCAGAAAATATAATCTGTAGAGCTAAACTCTTCAATTAATTGGAAGCGAGAATACTAATAAATTGGTTAGGAGGCTAAGCACATTAGGCTGAATTGTTTTCGAAGTGGCTTGTCTAATTATTGTGTCTGCAACATTCATCCATTTCTGAGTCACTCCCATGTCCTGGATGAATGCCTAGAATATTACAGCAATATGTTCCCCAATTGGTTATTCTGCTCATATGCAGATCTTCTCTGGGAAGGCAACCTTTTTTTTATATAATCACAGAACAGAGAGCTGTATTATGCTGCTTGTTTATGTGACACTTCCATGTAGAATGGGTGGGGCCACGCTTTTCATCTCAGTCTTTTAACCTCCTTCATCTGTATTAATCTTACCATTGTTCTGTTTGTCTTTTAGGTTTGCTGCTTCTTTGGTAAGTGCCTTTCCCCAAAGTCACTTTTGCCAGTAAGGGCTTCACTTCTGATTTTAACACCTCTTGAATGCCAAACACCAAGCAGCCTGCCCTGCAGTTTAGCTGAAGTTACATTGTGTATCTTGCCAATGACACCTCAAGAAAAGGACTGCGCTGACTGACATCATATTCTCACTACGAAATGTCCAAGGAAGTATACTATTGCACTGAGGATAGCCATTGAATTGGAATAACTTTATGGAAATCAGATATCAGCAAAATCTTCTCCCACCTAGAGTTTATTTAGTTGTGGACCCAGAGCACGTCTTCTCAGCCAGAATTGTTTAAGTGAAGGAGCTTGATCGATGACTGACTCTCCGCTGATTAATTGGCTCTTCTCATGCTGCTTTGTGTGTTTTGGACTCCATCTGGTAGTTTATCCCATAAAGCAGCTATACCCTTTTTTCACTAGATTCTGTTGAGGAAATATCTGGACTTCAACGGACTTTTAACTTGAGAGTTACCCATCAGAGTTTGGTTTCTCCAGCATGGCTTTGAATGTAGCCCCAGTAAGAGATACAAAATGGCTAACACTAGAGGTGTGCAGGCAGTTCCAGAGAGGGACTTGTTCAAGATCTGACGAGGAATGCAAATTTGCACATCCACCCAAAAGTTGTCAGGTTGAAAATGGACGTGTTATCGCCTGCTTTGATTCCCTTAAGGTAAGGACGTTTTGCTTTTACATTCTGATATTTGTGTGATTGATTAAGTAGATGGGTGTATATCAACCAATTGTTCATGAGTTGCATAAAGTGAGATCATTTATCAGAAATATGTTTTACAAAGTATCTACTGTGTGGTTTGGTGGTAATATAACATAACCATATTTATGTTTTGACTCATTTTTTGAATTTGGTTTTATATAATATTTTATACATAAGTTAGTGTTGTGTTTATGACAATCTATAAAAGCGCATGTGACATCAATACTAATAACGTGTGTAAAAAGTATGTGGTGAATTATGTACTAAACTATAAAGCAAGCAATGTAACTTGGACATCCTTGTGATATCATTTGTCTAAAAGCATACATTTAAATCTGTTAAACTATTACATATAACAGAGTTCTCTAAATGTATCCATATGCTAAGGTGCCCATACACCTTACGACCATCGCAAGACTTTTGTCTTGCGATGGTCGTAAGCTTATTAAAAGCTTGTACGATCTGCCCATCTTGGACAGGCAGATCGTACTTGCGATCATTGAAAGCCCGCCCCCCTCACCATAGTGAGGGGCGAGCTTCCGATCACTGCAAACGGGCAGTGTGCGCACACCGGCCCGTTCGGCAGTTGTCGAACAAGCAGGCCAGTAACCCGCCGAGAATCGTACAATTCTCGGCGGGGTTTCAAGCCTGCTTGTTCAACAGAAGACGTGCAACCGTACAGTAGAAACGGTCGCACGGCTTCCATACACTGTACGATTATTGTACGATCGCGGGATTTCCTGTGAGAATCGTACAGTGTATGGGCACCTTTAGGTTAGGTTTAAGCTTCCCAGCTTCAGCTCTCAGTAAATACCAACAGTTGAGGGGGTTTTTCACAGAATAATAGGCCAAACAGTTAAAAGCACATATAAAGGTTTTAAAGGTCATTGATGCTGGCCATTAACAGCTTTGTGTGGCCCCTCAACCTGTTAGTCCAAACATGTGGCCAATTTGAAAGCTAGGTCTCGTCTCAGCAATGTTTAAGGGACAATTGTTGTTAGAATTGGATAACTACCTTATGGTCTTTCAGAATTACCGTATTTGCCAGCGTATAAGACGGGTTTTGAGACCTTAAAACATCCCCCGAAAATCGGGGGTCGCCTTATACGCCGGGTACATACAGAAGGATACGGTATACGGTGGGTAGCTTCGGCTACATACAGTATACCGCGCTGAGCCAATCACGGCAGACTTTGTATTAATGAATACAAAGCCTGTATTCATTAATACAAAGCCTGCCGTGATTGACTCAGCGGAAGACGGAGGACACAGCGGGGATCGCGGACAAGGTAAGAGACTGTAATCCCGAGTGTGGCTCGGGGTTACCGCTTATGGTACTGAAAATTAACCCCGTGCCACACTCGGGAATACCGCCATGGATGTTAGTGGGTGCATTTAAACATTATTTTGGGCTATACTCGTCTTATACGACGAGTATAGCCCAAAACCTATAATTTAACACAAAAAGTAGGGGGTCGTCTCATACGCCGAGTTGTCTTATACGCCGGCAAATACGGCAATAACCTTCTTATTAGATTTTTTACTGTCTGCATCTGCAGCTGTTTCAACCCAAGCATACAAGGTTTTCTAATTGGCCCTCCAAATCGCACCTTGTTCTGGAACCCTGACCTGTACTTTTAGTACACATGAAAAGTAGTTTGTTAAAAGCCTTGAGATCCAAGGTTGTAGAATATTGTACCAGGCTGAAGAGCTGTTGTATTAGAAATGTAATCAGGGGCTTTAATGACAAGCACAAACTGTCAGACATTTACATATATACAGAATTTGATTCAGTCTTGCAGAAAATTAGTCTTTGTCTATCTAGTCTGCCCACCCTAGGATTTAAAGTATCTTTGCTTTCCAAAAAAAACCTTATATTTCTGAATTGATCAATCTCTTCTTAGAGAAATACTTGTGGCACATTTAAATGTTTATAACAGACTATTGGGGCATAGTTATCTAGATCAGTGGTTCTCAACCTGTGTAACCTCGGGACCCACATGTTTCCTTGGTCATTAAGGCGTGACCCAAAAATGATTTCAGTTCTGAAACATTTTAATTTATTACACAAAACAACTTGTGCAGTATTCAGCTATATATATATATATA